CACTAAATGACTTAATACTACCCCCCAAATCCATTTGCATTGCCTGCTTCTTCATCAACTGTCCACAAATTCCAACACAGCTTAGAGCTGCAAAGAACTCACTGCCCAAACACCAGGCAGGCAACTCTACTCAACTCAAATATACAAATAAGTATCCTCTTAAGACAGTACTTATTTGTAATAGAGCGTTCCTCTTAATTATAACATAGCATGAGTTCTTTCATTCTTCTAAACTTTAATAATGACACTTTCAAACAGTAACAAATATAAATTTGTGCAGCCTGAAATATGCAATCATAAACCATAATTTCCTTATCACTGAAGAAAGAAAAAAAAATCAGTGATTAAACTCCAGTGATTGAGGACCAATTTTGAATTAAATTTTATTTTGTGCTAAAGTTAGGTTTTATGCAGCAATATCAAGACTAATTTAAAGGTAATAGTAAAGCATTCAATGCTATATTAAAACTCCATACTCCAAAATGTTTACCAAAATTAAACTGTTCTTTTTTTCGCAAATTTCAAATGTCTTGCAGATGTCTTTGAAACCTCTTGAAAGAAGAAGTTGTAACTGATACCACAGCAGTCAGTCTCATTTTCTTTTGTATTAATCCCATTCCCCTTGGAGAGGAAAATGCTGTTCCTGACCAAGAAAAAAAAAGTTTGTATGTATGTATGTATGATGTATGTATGTATGTATGTATCTATCTATCTATCTATCTATCTATCTATCTATCTATCTATCTATCTATCTATCATCTATCTATTTATCTTTCTTTCTTTCGTGTGTATCTATCTATCTATTTATCTTTCTTTCTTTCTATCATCTATCTCCTATCTATCTATCTATGATTATCCGTCCATCCACCTATCTATCATCTATCTATCTTCTATCTATCTATCATCTATCTATCTATCTATCTATCTATCTATCTATCTATTATCCATCCATCCACCTATTCATCCATAGCCACCAACTCAGTCCCCAGCCCCAACTCATCCAGGAAATCTTGAAGATGGTATTTCAGGGAGAGCAAACCTTATCCTACTACCCAGCCCCCACTCAGGCTTTGGCTCAGACAAAATCACGGTTATTTCTCAACTTTCTAGCAAAGTCCAAGGTGGGAAGAAACTGCCGGGAACGGATTTACCCAGTAGAAAGATTCCTAATGCTGACAAACTACTGGAGCAGGAGCCTGGGCCACAGTCGCATCGAATCTGTCCTCTCCCCAGAGGTCCAAACAAGGCTGGCAACAAAACCGCTTTTCATGGTGCCCTCAAAAGCAGATGGGCCCCAAGTAAAAAGTTGGAGAAGGGCGCTATTGCCCTCTAGTGGCCGAAAGTGCAATCTTCCGCAAAGGAGTCCATTTCCAGAGACACACAAGGTTCTCAATGTCAGCAAAATTACAGCAGAAAGACGCTTAATTATCCTCTTCGACTATTTCCTTAGTCTTTCCTGCTCAGAGAGGAAGCTGTAGATGTCTATGACATGGATTCGGACAGCAACACTGAAATGTGTCCAAGTTTCTCCACCTTTTCTTTTTTTAAACAAACCTGTTGATGTTTGGTCTTTTTTCCACTAAAAATTAATTCCGCCCCCCCCCTTTTTTTACAGGCCAGGTATCTTTATATATTTCTGAAGCACTAAATTTGAGCTGTAAAAGTAAACAAATTCAAATTCTAAGTAAAAAGTGAGAGCACGACAAATTAGCCAACTTCCGATGAAATAATGACCAATTTCAAAAAGGAAAACTTCATCACAAACACATTTTGATGTCTTGAAAATCATTATTCCATGAATATATGCAGGTATTTAAGTTTTCAAGGGCAATACATAGGAAGTCATAGTAATTGTACAAGTTTGATGATGCAAGTAAAAATGTTCACTTTCTGTTCTCAATTCCATAGAGCATCATTTTGTTATTCTTAGTTAATTATTAGGTATGCCTACAATCAAAGTGCAAAAAATCAATTTTGAAAATCAGCTCAAGTAAATTCACTGTTCTCTTTCAAATTCTTATATAAATGCATTAGGGATGAAGACTAAAACCAGATTTGTAGATCCTGTTTGGAAGGCTATGAAAGAATGGATTTAAATATGACAGATCAAAGTTAATGTGAACCATCAGCTTCCTGAGCTACTGGTACTCACAGGCAAGGTTCCAATGCACCCAAGCTCATGAAAGTGTAGTTTTGGCATTGTAAATCAAACCACGAGGTAAAAGTCATGGCATTTCCCGTATGAGGGTTCCCAAACCAGAATCTTGACAAAGCAGCCATGTAATTCTATCCAAAGTGAAAGAAAAACCATGAGTTATGAAGACATGTGAATTGAAGAAGCATGAAATTGATCTGTATTCCCCCAAACAATGGCACAACTCTCTAACTCTGGACCCTCCTCCCACAAATAAACATTCCAGTGCACAATGTGGGGCCCACCATAGTGAAGGAGAAATATGAGTTATGGATCATAAAAAATAGAGTTGTAACTTCCTAATATTTTTTCATATTAACCAAAGATTGCATCTTAATTGAAAATTGAATTTAGGTTTCCAGTAATTTTGCTGTAGTGTTCTGATAAGCATGCAGAACATAATGGGCATTCTGTAGTCCTATCAAGATGGTCCACTGCTTCCACAAGAACTATTTTAAAAGCCTATTTTTTTTTCTAGTCTGCAATAAACCCACTGTGAACAAATCTACAAGTCTGGGCCTCAGGAGTTTATCCCATTTCAACTCTTCCCAAGCATTCCCTCATTCCCCCACCCCTAGGGGTGGAGAGGGTCGTTTCTTTTTCTCAAAGATCCTGAGCAGGGTATGCAGACTTGGAACTAACACTCAACATACTGACAGAAACTATTAATGATTACTAAAGACAAAGTATGGCTTCAAGATATGTTCAACGGATTAATTTGCAATGCCTCACAAAAGCAGAATGCAAAACCAATTTTCACCCAGCAAAGTTTCCTGGCCTTTAGACGCCTTTGCCTGGTCTCTGCTGAGAACTGCTCAGGCTTCTTTGTGCCAGGCAGGACTGCAGTTTTGCACAGAAGGTTCGAATTCCAAGCCTCACTGAGCAACTTAGGCTTATGTTTAAGGAACTTAGCATGACTGTGGCTACAGGATCCCTCTAGTACTGGCCACAACTATGTCCCTTTGTTTTGCAACTTTTATTCCTTTGTTCTACTGGAAGAAAATCAGGCTGCTTACAGCTGGATCGAGCAGCCACGTCTAGGTTCCACTGTCTCTACCTCCTTATTTATAGGAGAAAATAAAATCTTTCTAACAATATTGAAATGAAGGTCAGCCGCTCTCTTTTCCTTTGCTGTGCGTACAGGCTTTACGGCTTAGAGCCCAGCCAGGCTAATATGCGGATGTGATACTAACAGACCCTCGGTCCTGAGAACACATCCCGGTTCCCTGGATAACCCAGACACCCCTCAAAACCATAGATCTCTGCTACAGGCCCACGCGATAAGGAAATTGATCCATCCTCTAACCAGATTAATTAATTGCTGTTTCCCGATGATTAAACCGAAAACTTACTTCACTGCATCCTAGTACACCGATTAAATTTTAATAAATAAATAAAAGATCGGAAGAAAACAGGAAAAGGATTTGGGATCCTTCGGAAGAAGATTTCTTTAGGAAGAGAGGGAAGGGAAGACTTCGGAACAAATCTCTCCCCTCCAGCAGTACCGGGTTTTCAGGAACAAACCCTACTTCCATCCCTTAGGAATGACCCTTCGTTATGCAGAAACGGCACTGTTAAATAATTAGAAGATACAATTTCTCCATAGCAGTGCGACGGCCCGTGAAATTCCTGCTGCATTATTAGCAAAAGCAACAGGGTTTCTTCCAGCATCTAGAAAACCTTTCACCCGCGGGAGGCTGGAGCGCAGAGCCCAAGCGAAATCCGGGCCTTGGCAGGAAAGAGAGACCTGAATGCTGGACCAGTGGCCTCCTGGACCCCACTTTCACCGGGGACTCTTGGCTTCCTGACTCGAGGAGGCCCTGCCAAGGCGAAGCTGGGTTGGGGCGAGGGGTAAAGGGTGCCCTGCCTGCCGCAGCCCTCTAACCACGGGTTTCTCTGAGCTTCCTATTTCTCTCCGGTTTGGGGTGGGGGGGGGGCAAAGCTCAGGGAGGGAGATCGAGCGTGCTGCGAGCCGAGGCTTGGCGCGCTTCCCAGAGGAGGTACAGGCTTGGGGTACGGTTTGGTTCCCAAAGTTAACATTGACCCTGGCAGGTTTCGCCAAGCACCAGCCGGAGCCAGGCCGGAGTCCGAGCGGTTTTCAGACCTAGCCCTGCGCTGGTCGAAGCTTCGAAGGGCCGCGAGAGCTAGGGAAGAGGCGGTCTGGAAAGCAGGAGCGCACCGCAGCCGCCAGCCCAGAGCCGCAGTCGGCGGACCCATCCCACGCTATTAAAGTGCGGGCACTGGGCGCTCGGATCTTGCCTACCTCCTTCCATCCCGGACTTCTCCCACACTCTCCACCCGGGGACTCAGTCGTGGGGAGCGCTCTGCGGAGATCCGGAAGGACCCGGTTTGGATCCCGCAGACAGCAATCCTTGTAGCCGCTTTGGGAAACCGGCGCGGGCGGTTAGCGCGCAGGGGTCGACTTTCCCTAGAGACGTGGTCAGGGCAAGCGGCGTGTCGGGAGCTCAGCACTGCAGTCCCTTGCCCCAACCCCGAGCAAAACCCCTGTGCGGGGGCTTCGGCGCAAACCCCCAGGGGAGGCCCGCGCGGGAGACAGATGTGCAGCGCACATCTGGCGCCTCTGCCCCTCGAGCTGCCCGCGCCCACAGTCGGCTCTCTTCTCCTTTTCTGATTTTTAAAACAAATCATCTTTTAACCCTTAAAAGAAGCTCCTGCTTTTCATTACTGCTCTCCATCCAGACACCAGCCTTCTCCCTCCCAAGTCAGTCTCTTCCAGAAGCTATCCTCTCCTCTCCCGTTACTCCAAGCCTCATCAAAGCAGGACCAGGGACTGGTGGAGCCTCACCTGGGGGCCCTAGCGGATGGGCGCGATCTCCGGGCTGTCGGTCCCCGGCACAGGGCGAACGCAGCGGTGTCAGCCCTAGCCCCAGTCGGAGTCCCATTCACAAGTCCGCGGTGGCTGCGAGCGGCCCCCGCGGCATCTGCTCTTCGGCCCGCGACGCTCCCCTCAGCTGGCGGCGGCCGCGGAATGAGCCGCGGAGCGCACTAGTGGCAGGAATGA